TTTTTGTCTTACCTTCACCCGATTCGTATTCGTGGCCCCCGATCCATTCTTGTGACAGCAAATCGTTACTTTAATAAGACTTTAATATGACGAGTGATCTTCAAAAATCAACCAATCATAATAAAGCCCGCTATGCTTATATACTCTTATTTGGTTTCGATTTCTGAAATACTGTAAACTCAAAAAAACAGAGTCAATGCCTACAAAATTTAAATTCAGATTATGATTGATAAAGTCGTAAAAGTTTTTTCTTGTACATATTTGATATTAAATAGTAAAATATTCACGAGCTTAGAATTAAAATTAACGTGAATACGTATAATAAATTAAATAATAAATCTTGAACTTTAAATAGCCTATTTTAAATATACTCGCGCACTGAATCAAGTACTGTATACTTAGATTAATAAATCTTTATATTCAAATAATAAATTGGGACAACTGAAAAATTTTCGAATCGGAATCAATAAGTAACCGACTTCGGCCGAACTCAGGAGTCGGTTCGGTCAGCAGTTGTCCCAGAACAGTTGATTGTAGCCGAACCGTTAAACGGTCCGACCTATAAGTTTGACTCGCGGCTCTGCTAACCCCTAATATCGATATTTGGTGCAAAAAAAAAAAACTTCGGAATTCGGACTTTTAAACCTATGTAATTAATAAATTTACCCGATGTCGATATGCACTGACATCTGTTCGATATACACCGCTGTTCAGATTTTTAAGGGGCAGAGTCTGGTAAATTGTAAAATTTAACTTTTTTTTTTTAGCAGTAATGGTATATGTCCCCAATCTAAGCCACCTTTCTGCTTTTTGTTTACTAACCTTTGGTGTTCTTTTATTAGAGCTTCGAGGTATTGTCCTTCTTTAGGGGTTTCGTCTTTCGTCAGGGGCTTCACCTCTCGCCGGGGGGCTTCTTTCGCCAGGGGTTTCGCCTTTCGCCAGGGGCTTCGCCTTTCGCCAAAGGGTTTCGTCTTTCGTCTTTCGCCGGCTTTAGGTTTCGTCTTTCACCTTTCATGAAAACGGTTTCACCTAATAACTTTTACACCACCAAAAGCGAGGGGTAAGGTAAATTTAAAAGATTCGGTTGATTCGCGTATATTTTTTGTACTTACCCTGCTGCACTAATTGATCAAAATTTCGTGTTTGGTCAGGGTTACGATCAACTTTATTACACCAGAAGGTGATAAAAAGACAATAATTGCTAATGAAGGAGAAAGTATTATGGATATTTCACATACTCGTGATGAAATTGAACTTGAATGTAATTATTTTTATTGATATTAGCTGTTTTCCTATATTTTTTAAAATAATCATCTTTTCAATAGGCGCATGTGAAGGATCACTAGCTTGTTCTACGTGTCATGTGATAGTAGACCCTGAATATTATAAAAAATTAGAAGAGCCAACGGATGAAGAGAATGATATGTTGGATTTAGCATTTGGGTTGACTGAAACGTGAGGATTCTTTAAATATTTTATCTTTAACACCATTTATTATCTAACGAACGATTATTCAAATAATCAATAGATCTCGTCTTGGATGTCAAATTGTTATGGCAAAAGATCTGGACGGCATAACAGTTACCATACCTTCAGCTACAAGGAATGTACAATTGAAAGGTAATAATCTTAATGATTCTATTAAATATATCCGTAAAACGTAAATACTTATAAGGCTAATGGATGTTTTTGTCTAATATAGGATCAAAATTATCATAAACAATTTTAAAATTTTACATAAATAAAGTATTTATCACTTTTTAGACCTTCAACAGCACTTATTACAACATCCGACATATTGTTTATTAATTAGTGTACACTATAAAAAACCGAATTACACTAAGTATATTGAGGTGAAAGATCTAAATCTTCAATTTCGGCTTTAACAAGATGCTTTCCAGGGATCATAACTAGACCAACGAATCTTTTTTCACCTATAAAATGTATAAAGCTTAATTAAATAGTTGTACGTTTTTGAAATAAATGAATATTTCTAATTTGCGACATAGATTGTGTTTAAAAAATAAAATAAAATAAAATATCGAGAAAAAATTAAAAAGAAAACTCACTAGAACGAAATTCTTCAGTCTGTGACAAAATAATATTTTTATATTTATCTATGCACATAAAAGTCCCAATGAATACACGACCATCGGAGGCAGTAATTTTAGCCTTTAAATTTAAATAGGAACGAAGTAGTTGAATTTTGGGTGTATCAACCATTGTAATTGACAGATGAATTTATTATAATATGCATATATATACGTATTATTGTACATCAATGATTATTGGCCAATGAAATATCCCGTATAAAATTTAGAATTAGCGTCAATTATGAGAATTAAAGTTTACTGAATGACATTTTACGAACGTACAACGATTTTACTTGATTGTCACCCTGATACCCAGTCTCCTTGCGTTCCAGAACTTGAAGATTCTCGTAAGTTCTATAGAAATGAAGAGCGATTCGAAACATAGAAAATAATTTCACTACAGTATTTATTTTGTAGTGGTACCACCTTGTCCTTTATGGTCATGCTTCGTAGAGGCGACGTTAGAGTATTGTCGTGTCGTGTTCGATTTATTTGACACTGACAGTAATAGACGTCCTGTAAGTATTTACTATGCTGATTTCCTTTATGATCTGTATTTCTTTAACATTTCTATTTTTCATTAGGTATCTGTTCACATCGCAGGCGTACCGTTAGAACGCAGTATACTAAATACATGGCAAGATCAAAATTTAAAACAGGTACAGACTTTGTTTTAACGCGTAAATTTATTATTCTTTGATTAATTAGATTTTTTATATTCGCCGAAGATTGCCGACAATTTTACTGTTATATCACCAGCCTCTGTTTCACCTTCACCGGCGCGATTGTCGAACGCGCTGGAAAGCTCTTTAAAAGCTTTGAATCAGTCAGAATCCAATGAACAATTTAATGCAAGGTTCGTATTGATTCTGATGGGAAAAGGCGATGAGAGACAGTTCAGGTATTTTTCATTTTATATCTGAATTTTGGTATGATATTTTCTTTGATATTTCACGTGTATCGTACGTAATATCCATTTTGCTATACAAAATTTTTTATCATATAGGTATCAAGAAACTCGGAGCCATAAATTAATTGATATTAGGGACGTGATCCGTGGCATTTTAACACAATACGGAGGTCTCTTTAAGGATAAATTTCGGTGAGCCCTCGTTAAAATAGCAAAATAGATTGGTTCACATCCGTTTAAAATTCTATCCCTTACTCTTATTCAATCTATTAGGCATCTAAAACGTTGCCATTTTGATATTTTACGTGTATTACCAACTTACGAACTAACAGCAGAAGATATTCCATGGACAAAGGTAATCGGTAAAATTCTCAATTTATACTTAATTATAATCTTAAAAATGTATTAATAAGAATTTCTGATGCAGGTTCATGTGGAAAATTTAAGCACTGAATTTTCTGCAACAGTTTATAATATTTTACCCGGTCGAAAATGTCTTACTCGCTCAATGTTACATTTAGTTCAATTACATCATCACTTACACACGTTGAGATTGTTGGAAGTACCTATGAAGGTTGGTTCTTCCATTAAATAGTATATTAATTTATTTTATTATCCTTTTGAATTTAACAAAGTCTGACAAATACTGGTAACAACTCATATTTTTAAAGAAAAGTGACAATACAAAGACAACGTATGAAATAGAATTGCTTTTTCAAGCAAATAGCCATAAGCTTGGTAATATATCCGTTACAACAGAGCATGCACCAAGACCACGATTATATGAGCCGGGCTATTTTAAAGATCGACAGACTGTTGTCAAATGGGTTAAGCAGAAACTTTACAGCCTAGGTGAGCTTCGTAATAACGTCATCTGATTGTCACTACTATCCTAATCATTTTATGAAATAAACAGAGGGAACGGTTACTCGTTGTTCTCATATGGTTACGCCTATAGACGTGAGTGAAATTTCGATATATCGCGTTCTATCGGAAAAGTAACGCGTCCTATACACTAATAAAAAAATTTTTTTTTAAAAAACACAGATATCGGTGCCAACTCGAGTATTGATTACTAGTCTATCAAAAGGTGTGGGTTTGGGTTAAACATTACAAAGAAAAAGTATTAGACACTTAGAATTTTATATATATGTATTTCGTTTAGGTGCAATTTATGCTTTAACGGATCCTTCGTTATCTGCAAATGGTAATAATCAGTCTACGGCTCGAAATGAAAATTCCCCGCCAATAAAACCGCTCTTCTCACATATCTTGATATTTTGTGAAGGTAAAAGCTAACTGTTTAGTTATTTATTATTAATGATGTGAAATGTTTATACCTTTATTATATTATTATTATTATGTAAAGGCGCATTGTATGTTCACTGTCAACACATCAATCATGGGAAAAATGCCCATCTTCTTGACGTCATCAATTTTGAAGTTCCTCCTCAATTTGTGGTTTCGCCTAAATCAGATATCTCGATGTATTCTCAGGTAACAATCTCTATAATAATGATTTTGGTGTTTACTTTTTTATCTTTGATTATATATTTGTCGGACAACTACTTAACTCTATTTTCTTTCAAGTCCTTTGAACCTTTTATTATTAAGCCAAATATGGTTTTATCTAATCGAAGACCTATAAGCAAGACTATTAAAGTATCAGGATATGAAGTTGAAAGTACACAAACTTTAGATATTGAGTCCAGATGGCTTAAAGCTGCGTTAAGTTCGAATAATGACATAATACTCAAATTGCAGAGTAGCTTATCTGAAGGGGTGCGTTATTTGGTTATTTTCTTTTACTAAATTGTAACTGATATCCTCACTATCTATTTCTTAACGGGTAAATAGGGTACCATTGTCCATGGTATATTGACCGAATTAAAAAATCTTCTTTGTGTTGAGACACCACCTGATGATTATACCAAAATTGCAAACAATGTATGCATATAAAATATAAAAATTTTAAATTCTGATATTTGTCCATTTCATATTAACATTTAAATTTAATCGATAATAGATATTGGATCGATTATTTGCATTAGGAAGGGGCTCTGATTCATTTACAAAGTATTATATATGCTTCATTTTTTTTCACTGATGCTAATAATACCGAGTTAAATAATTTAATTTCTTTTAGTCAAAAAAATGCAGTTGCGCTATTGAAGCAGGTCCCTATAATTTCAGAAGCCTTTCAATTCACGTCTTCGGAACACGCTGAGGTTATTATTTATTATACATAAAGAAAGGGGTATTGTAACGAATCGTGATATTTCATGACTCCGTGATTAGAAATGAATAAAATTTATATCATCCAATTCCTCTACATGAGAGAATCAAATGGTATAAAATTGTTCAATTATGACTGCAGGATTATGAGATATTGAAGTGGCGTTTTTTTATCTACTAAAATTAATGATTCCGTGATCAAGTCGAACGATTCTTTTACCAATCTGTTTCTCTCATTGAGAGAAATTGGCAGGTATATGAATCAATTCTGATTACAAGTCACGATATATTCTCGTGAGTATGTAAGATCGGATATCTCGTGACCCTGTGATCAGGATCCGACGATTTTTATATCATACGATTCCTCTCTACGGGAGAATCGAACATTATAAATCTCGTTCAAATCTGGAGTCACGATATTTCACATAATACCCTCTAAAAGTTAAATTCTTTTATTTCTTTCGTATTAAAAACATTTTATGATAGAGTGGTCAGAATCGACCGATTTTGTATCATTCAATTTAAATATAATTCGTCACAATATCCCTTTCTACCTTATGTGGAATTCGATCCTTACATGCTTATTGGTGCTGTATCATTATTTAATTACATTTTATAATTTTATAGATACACGAGATTATGAGTGGACGTGTAAGGCCCGACGGTACGGAAAACAAGCCGTTACCTATAATGCAATCATCAGATTTACAAAACTCTTCCAGCAATTTGGTGACGGACACAATATTAAATCCCAAAGAGGAAACTAAAGAGACACAAATCGCATGGAAGCAATTAGATCAATACAGTTCGATGACATATAAAGAACAACAAGACATGGATGGATCAGAGGCTAACGCCTTATCTCAACCAATCTCCATGAGAGCTCGTGGACAGCATTATCGTGTAAGAGGTGGTTTTGGAGGGCGTCGTCCTCAGCGTGGTTTTTCCGATTTCGGTAGATCCCAGACACCAGATACTGATGATAACCGTAACAGTGGGCCTATACCATATCTACAATACAATGTTCCAAACATTTTTGGAATTAAAAAAGAACATGATAAATATATGAGCCGGTTAGGTAAATCTAATTCGTTACTTTATCAATATTGGATCGGCAAAAGGAATGCGAGAGAGTCTAGAGGGATTAAACGTAAAGATTTCGATGGACAATTACCTATCACTGAGCCAAGTCATCAGGAAGAAAAGTTTGAACAATGATTAATCTTTATTTGGCAATATTTATTATGTGACTAATGTAGTACTTTAATTATTGTTAATCGATTCAATCTTTCTGTATTTGTATATAATAAAACCGTTTAATGAATAGAGTAGAATAAGCAGATCAAAACATCCTTAAATTTTACGTGGAGACAGTGTTTACTGTTTACCCCAAACTAACTTTATTCGTGTTGTACATTGTGAGTCACTGATTTTTTGTATTGTGACTGAATTCATTATATTATGAGTCACATTATGACTCAACTTCTACGTAAGTATCACAAACTGATGGATTAGATAAAAAAATTTTAATTATTATGTTAAATATAATTGGCCGATATCTTTTAAATCGATGTCGATATAAATGCATCGGCATTTAATTTTTTTTTTAAAAAAAAAACCTGTCATAAACAAAAAAGAAAATGTTTGCTAAAAACTTTCCCATTTGTCGTTCAATTGTTACGAAACAATTTGTTAATTTGTCCGTGAAAAAACCCGTTGTTAAAAGTCATTTGTCGATACCATTCCCATTGTTTTTACAGAATCGTCATTATGCTAAGCCGGTGTCACAGGACAAAGATAAATTGATAATTTTTGATACAACTTTACGCGACGGTGAGCAGGTAATTTGTCGAATAAAATTTTAATAGACTTGTCACCGATTCTATTATGCTGACGTGCTTGAAGTTTATTAATTGTGTTATTAAAAACCTTAGTCACCTGGCGTCACCTTTACGTCAGACGAGAAACTTGAAATTGCGCGACATCTTTCAAATCTTGGAATTGACGTGATTGAAGCCGGTTTTCCAATCGCTTCACAGGGTGACTTTGATGCGGTTGCGCGTATTGCAAGAGAGGTTGGTCCTCTTATGCATGGTCGAGAAAAAATTGGCAAGCCCATGGTTAGTAATTTTGGTATACTTTATGATTGGTGTACGTAAGATATTTGAATTAACATTTCGTACAACATTAGAGAATTGCTGGCCTTGCACGTGCCACTAAAGCTGACATTAAGCGTTGCTATGAAGCTGTATCTTTGGCGCCGTTGCATCGAATTCATACTTTCCTTGCCACGTCGGATATACACCTTAATTATAAACTGAAGATAGATCGTAACGAGTGTATTAAACGCGCTTCTTCAGCAGTTGCATATGCAAAAAGTCTTTGTGATGATGTAGAATTCAGTTCTGAAGATTCTGGAAGAAGTGATAGGGACTTTTTGTGTCAAGTCTTGGGAAAAGTAATTGAGGCTGGAGCAACTACCCTAAACATTCCAGATACAGTTGGTTACACTAGTCCTGAAGATTATGGCGAATTAATCAAATATTTAATTGAGAATACGCCTGGAAGCCACAAAGTAATTAATTACCTTTTTTTTATTTTCTTCTTTTAAATCGAGTGTTGAGATTTTTTTTTCATCAATTTAGGTAATTTGGTCTACGCATTGTCATAATGATTTGGGTCTTGCTACTGCTAATACATTGTCCGGAATAGTCAATGGTGCTAGACAGGTGGAAATGACCATTAATGGTATTGGTGAACGTGCTGGTAATATCTAATCTATAATTATTATCACGTGACAACATAGACACGTTATACTGATAATATTAATTTTAATTTCTTTAGGCAATACATCTCTTGAAGAAGTTGTAATGAATATTCATACTCATCCCTCTTCATATCCGGTCTATCACACCATAAATACCCAACTTATTTACCGTACATCCACTCTAGTCTCATCTCTTTCTGGGATGGTGGTACAACCAAATAAGGCAATTGTGGGTGCCAACGCATTCCTTCATGAATCCGGTATTCATCAAGATGGTGTGCTGAAGAATAAACAAACATATGAAATCATTCGTCCTGAAGACGTGGGCGTCTTCAATGTAAATTTAGTGTTGGGCAAACTTTCAGGACGCAATGCTTTTCGTTCCCGCCTTGAACAACTTGGTTATTATGATATGAGTGAAGATGATTTCAATAAAGCCTTTGATCGATTTAAGGCTATAGCAGATGCTAAAAAGCGCGTCACGGATCATGATCTTTTAGCTTTGATATCAGAACAAGTTTCTTCCGGAAGTGTACATCGATTCGATTTGCAAACAATTCAGGTTGTTTCTGGAACTCGTGACATGGTCACCGCAACAGTCAAAATTATTGATTCAGCTCTAAACAGAGAACTCATTGGTGCGGCTGTAGGGCAAAATGGTCCTATAATGGCAGTATTTGGCGCTATTCAACAATTGGTGCAGCGTAAAATCCGCTTGTTAGATTATGAAGTTCGTGCAGTCTCTGAAGGGATGGACGCATTGGGAAAAGTTGTCGTAAAAATTACAGAGGATGTTGATTCTTCAAGTGTTGAAGCTGATTCTAATCCGCAAGAACATGTTATTGATCGTGCAGTTAAGCCCGTCATCGAACAAAGTGGGGAGACAAAATTATCAAAGAGCAGATATCATGGTCATGGTACAGATGTTGATATAGTAATGGCAAGCGCGAGAGCTTATGTAAACGCAATCAATAGGTTGTTTGAAAGTGAGGTCAACGAAGAAAGTCGAAGGAGTTCTTTGAAAGAAAGATTAGCAAATATATAATAATTTTAAAACTATTTCTGATCAATTTATTTACCTAAAAAATCCTATTTTTTTTTTTATTATAATGGTTTGCAAAAGAACATCTAAGATTAAAGAAGTCGATATTTTATTCAAGAATACTAAAAGTAAAATTAATATATATTTTTGAAAAGATGTATATAAAAAATTTATACTACACTTATATAATTTTAGTAAAATCGTTATTTTCAGACTTAGTTAAATGTAACTTTTTGTATTCTATATATTTTATAAGTGAAATTTAAGGAGGTTTTGAATTTCTTAACTTAGAGTTTACATAAATTCTAAATTTATGACAACGTATATAAACTATAATTTAAAGTTGCTATTTGATTAGTGAAATTTATGCTTCTGAATACTAACTACATCTCATAAAGTTACCCGATTTTTTAATCGAAACTGATTAACATTAAGATTAGGATTAGCAGTGAAATTTCGGATAACGATAAATCGAAATCATGTGATGTGATCTGAATTATGGCATTTGATTGGACAAAAATCAAAATCTTTGGTTAGTAATCGAAACAGTGAATTTTAACCGATTAGCGCAGATCATTCTATTAAGAACAGACTAAAATTCAGTAAAATCGTAATGACTTAGACTGAAAACATCTTAGAATCGATGATCAACATGCATTTGTCTTAAAGTTTTGATAATCATCTATCTCGATGATACATAGATAGCTGATAGGGTTAAGTTTAGTATTCTGCAATCCGCGTCGTACAAACAACGAAATATAACGATAACTTGTATTTCCTCTTTCTTCCTTCTCTTTTACCTCACAACAACCCTTCTATCCTTTTCAACCGTTTATTTGAAACTCCTTTATTGTTGGCAATTCCCACTTATACATTCATTCTTTCGCATCTTGAGTTCCTAAGAAAGGAGGGTTTCATTATCTTTTATTACGGTTAAAAGAACTAGTTAATAGAGGTTATATAAATTATGACCAAGCCAACAGTTCTTGTTCTTGGAGGACTAGGTTTTATAGGTCGTAACTTTATTCCTTATCTTGTAGAGAATGACCTTGCCTCCGAAATAAGAGTAGTCGATAAAGTTTTACTTATAACAACCGCCCTCAATCCTAAACAAAAGGAAGCGTTTTCCAAAGTTGAAGTCTGGCAGAAGGACCTTGTTGATCGTGGTATGTCGTGTCTTTTCATTCATTTAAAATTTTTTGATCTATAATATTGCAAATGGTAATCACGTGCACTATCTATCTCATTGCATTACGATTGGATAGTTTCAATTGAAAGATCTTTTACACGAGGGGACGGAAGTTCGTACGATTATGTCTTTAATTTAGCAGCTGAAACAAAGTATTCACAAATCGAAAAGGTCTGTATCACAAGTAATTGCCTATTTATTAGGATGTGTTTCGACAAATTATGATTCATTGCTTAATTATGTGTGAATAAATTGAAACATTTATTGCTTGTATTTAATAATCAAATATAAACTGCGCATTATCTATATTTATAACATCAAATTTCTTTTTATACAGGTTTACGAAGAGCGTGTCTACACTCTGTCTGTCCGAAACGCAGAGGAAGCTGCTCGAAGAAATGTTAAGGTATATGTTGAAGTTTCGACTGCGGAAATATACAAACCAGATAAAGTAAGCAAATTTATTTGAATATTTAAGACTTAGGGCATTGATTAAAATTGATCTTTTATAATAAGAATCCAAGTAAAGAAGAAGATAAGGCTAAACCTTGGACGATGTGTGCCAAGTATAAACATAAAGCAGAAGAAAAGATAAAAACCATTGAAGGGTATGTAACGGTTTTTTAACTATCTTTGTTAATTGTCATTAATTATACACGAATTAATACTTTTTAACTTACAGTTTAAACCTCGCAATCTTACGACCATCTGTAGTTTATGGGCCGGGTGCAACTATGGGTATAAGTAAGTTTGCGAATCTTAATTGCATCATTATTGAAATCTTGGACTCAAAAGTTTAGTGATTGACGAAATTATTAATTTATTAATAGCTCCTCGTATTGTCTGTGGTCGAATTTATAAATTATTAAATGAAGAAATGAAGGTCCTTTGGTCTGAGGACCTCAAAGTTAACACTGTTCATGTAACTGATGTCGTTCGTGCCTTATGGCATGTCGCAACCTGGTATCAGAACAATGATAAGGCCGGTAAAGGCCCCGTGGTTTTTAATTTATCTGATTCGGGTAATACAGGTATACTATCATTTTATTATTTCTTTCACAACCTTTTAAACAACGTTTTGTCATTATCTATACGAGAATAGACTTTATGTGATATTAGACTGACAATTCTAAAAATTTATCATTTTAGACCAAGAGCGAATCAATAAACACCTCGGCAGTATCTTTGGCATCAAGACTGGATTTCATGGAACTATTACATCTAATCTGGCACAAGTTCGTAGCTGTTTTCTATATTGTTTTCGTTTGCAATGATAGATGTTTCTAACTAATTGTATTTTTTTTTCTTATCAGTTGAATCTTGATAGTGCTGTAGATGAAAGCAACGATAAGCACATGGGTCCTTGGACGACATTTATAAAAGACAGTAAAAAAATTAAAAACACACCATTAACTCCCTACGTTGACAAGGAACTTCTTTGTAATAATCCTCTGTCTGTTGATGGAACAAAGATTACCGTGGAGACGGGCTTTCAATATGAAGTTCCAGAAGTTACAGATGAAAAACTCGTTGAGATGATTGAAGACTTTAAAGTAATAGGCTGGTGGCCAAAGGAGCCAAAAGAAAACGTTTAATTTTATGTTTAATTTGCTTATTCGTGTTTTTTAGGAAATTTCTTAAATTTTTTTTAAAAAGGATTGTTAAGAGCCTTGGCTTTTTTTTTTTTAATGTTCCAGATATTAAATGTTTTTACATATATAATTTACGTTATTAATGGTTTGTAATCTCTTGATTTGGTAATTTACAGGTTTCGATATTAACACGATTCAATCGTGTTTTTTTTATTTTATTTTATTTCCTCTTTTTTTTTTTTGTCAACTTTGTGACTTTGAGTCTAATAATTTCTTATTATAAGCGGAATCGATTTTAAATTTTTTTTCATTCTATACCACGCTAAAGGTTCTAAATTTTTTTATACAAATAATCCTATCGTAAATTTTTCTCAGACTGTTTTATAATTTCCGTCCTTTTTGATTTTGATTTTGATTCGATTTCTTTGTTGGATATCAAAATATATATTTTTTTTAATATATTACCGGTAAATATCTTTTTTAAATGGCATAATAATGTTTATCAGATTTAACAGGGCTTATTCATGAAAACAAATTTATTGACATGTGCCCCCTACTATATACAATATGATCTTGATCATTTGTATATTGGTTATTCGCTGCAATAGTATGGTGCGCGTCATGATATCAAATTTTGCAGATCATTGCTTATAAACTTTTCAGAAATTTTTAAAGTGGCTTTTTCTAATCTAATAAAAATTCAATAAAGGTTTAAAACTAAATGTACACGTAATTTGTTAATTACCGTAAAGTATGGAAAATAAGCACAGCACCCTCTACCCTGCTTTTTCAATTTCAGATTAACGGGAATAACTTGA